CAGGCTGCTGAGGAAGCTAAAACCTATTTCTTCCATGAGTTTCTCACCGCAGATGGTTGGAATTTCTCCTATTAGAAGAGTCAGGCCACCTCGATCATACAAACTCTCTGCTTTGCCTTTACAGGACTGAGATCAGGGATTGGTGAAGGTAAATTAATTGGTCCCACTTTACCCAGATCCATTGTACAGTTCTAGAACAATTCTAGCAGCACAATGAACTCTGAATTTAACCCATCCTCTTGGGAGCAGTGGGCTGCCATTGTGTGGCGCCCAGGAGCAGTGTGGGGGTCAGGGAGCCAGAGTGGCAGTCTGTGAGAGCGGGGCTCGAACTCAGAACCTCAGGATTCCAAGCTCTTGCAGCTCATTCCCTCCAGCTGGGATACAAATCCAAGCTTCCTGTTTGCAGGACAGGTGACTTACTAGCAATGGTGTAACTATCGGTAATGAGAGACTGCAGTTGCTTAGGGGCCCCTGACCTCTTAGGGGCCCCGTCAGTGACACCTGGTAGGCCCGCCACACAATGGTGGACTAGGATGTCTCTTTGCAAAGGTAATGTTGCGAAAAATTCGTCTTAAACCCACCTGATACTAGATCGACTGACCGGACCTTATTTGTACCCCAATAAATGGCAGATTCCAACATGATAATGAGCCGTTTAAACACGACACCAATAGCAAAGCAGACAGTGGTACTTTTAGTTACTATGTTAATAATTGTGTATAGTTCATTAGACGCTTGGTAAAAAATACACTGATATATGTTTCAAACTGAAATAAAGATCTTAAAAGAACAATGTATTTGAGTATTTTATTTTTTACAGTACAACTTGGAATTATGGGTAATACAGAGGGTAAATAAAACCATAACCTTTACGTACAATGTGTTAGCGACGATGGATACCAAAAAGAGGTACTTATGCGGATTCCGGAAAAGAAAAAGCAAAGAAGAGCTGCAGGGAGTGAAGATTGCGACCAGGAGATGAAAGGAGAGAGCTTGGGTGAGTGTTTGACTCAAGGTAGCCCGATAAGACTCATTTTACAGCAGAATATACTAAAGTATATCCATGTCTAGTGAAGGTGAAGAATGAAGTGATGAAGTGTGTATGTATGGGGCTCATTCCCTGTCTGTTTGCTAAGGCAGCGGCGGCGGGCATGGGGTGTTGTACTTCATATGGGTTCCACCAAGATAATGTTGCTTACGGGCCTATTGTTGTGTCGTAACGCCATTGCCCAGAAGTGTGCCTCCCTGAAATGCCTCCACATGTTTTCCTCTAATGATCCTAGATGTTAAAAAAAAGGAACACATTCTATCAAAGCTTGTAAAGTCATGACATCATCATCTGGGTTTTACAAAACTGTTTCATGTGCAGGTAAATATGCAGCTCCTGCATTAACAGGGCTTCTTTCACCTATTCCTTGCTGTTGAGTTGTGATCATAAAGTAATGCTGTCCGTATTAAAATAAACAAAAAAAAAACAAACAAAAAAAATTGCTTATGGTTTTAAAGAAAAATCAAGGAATTAAAGCAATATACATATTCCTAGTCATCCTAATGACCTAAAACTCTTACTCCCAGCATTATTAATTACTTACTTTTTTCCCCACTTTAGCTTAAACTTTGAACACAAATAGTTCAATCTTGACAATGTGCTTCAGATGACGCAACCCATCCCTTCAAAAAGCAAATATATTACCCTGCTTCACCCCTCCCACTCCCTGCACAGCATCCTGAGCTGATCTGCCCTCAGTGAAAGGGACTGATAACCTCCCCTTCATTCTTATCATCCAGCAGCAGACAAAGAAAACGGTTAAATGAATGTAGGCTGATGATTGATCCTAGAGTAAAAGCTTTACAATATAATTTATGTTTTCTATTTAGCACTGTGTTTGCTTTATTTACAAACCTTCTGAGGACCAGCAGACTGATTTTAATGTGGTGCACCTCCATGTTTAATGTTAAGGAGTCAGTTTACAGGTATGGAGGGAATTATCTTTAGGTTAGGAATGTAGTGTCAGGATTAGACATAAAACATCTTATTTAAGCCGTTATTGATATTATTGATAAATACAACTTTGTGTGTGTGTAAACATTTTCTGTTTATCCCTACTGAGTAATAAAAACAAAAAGTGTTTTCAACAAAGGAGGAAGCATTCTGTAAATTCCTTTACTAAGGAAATACTAATTGATGCTTTCATAAGAATGACACAGGAATGTTTCATAAAGTTTCTGTTTAGGCAGCTAGCAGCTAATAAAAGGCTGAAAGAATAACGCAGAAACCCGGTTTTATAAGAAGCTAATTGATACTTACAGGATAAAGTCGTTGTTGCTCATGTCTGCGGGAATAAAGAAGCGACAGGTTCACCTAAAAGCTGCTTTGTCTGCGTCTCAAGCCGTCACTTTGCATCTGCGGCTCGTCTCGTTAAACTGGCCCTGCTCGCTAGAGGGCGCGGCCATCTTGGAAGATCATGTGATCAGTCAGCAAGCCACCGCGACGTTTCAAAATAAAAGCTTTTCTCCGCTTGTGTGTGTGTGTGTGTGTGTGTGTGTGTGTTTTTTTGTTTTTTTGTGTGTGTCTTTCCCCACATAATTAAACCCCTTGTATGGAGGACAAACTCTGGCATATTTAAGAATAAATAGAGAAATAAATAAATGCTCAATAAATAAATAAACAAAATTTCTACCCAAAATGTAGGTAGAAATTAAATTATAGAGTAAGATATAAATGTATATATCTCTATTAATTAGCTTCATTTATGTACCTTTATAATAATAACCTTATTTATTTATTGTCCCTTATAATCTTTAACTTAATTTATTTATTATTTATTTTTTAAAGTATTTATTTATGTGCATGATATATTTTTTGTCTGTTTTATTCTTCCTTTGTATTTTTGACCCTATTTATTTTTGCCTGTCGTTTTTACATTTCTGTCTCCATTTCTGCCTCATTATGTAAATGAGGAAGGCTTAGAGGGTCAACTTCTGCCCATTGGTTGGCGGCCCATCTTCTTAACTCACAGAGCTCAGAGTATTAAGATAACAGTTCTCTTTTCTGTTGCTGTTGTTCAATAAAAGTACATTTTAAGATCATTTGAAGCAAGAACATTATACTTTTAAGGGTCACTATATGGCTCATTTACTGATCAGACCAATTTTATTTTATTCTAAAATGTATTTTAATTGAAACATTTATCCTATTCTATTTTTGTGTTTTTGTATTTTAGCCTTCAGTTTTTATCTTATGTTCCTTAACTGTGATTCCTGTACAGCACTTTGGTCAATCCCGGTTGTTTTAAATGTGCTTTATAAATAAAGTTTGAGTTGAGTTGAGTTAAGTTGAACCTAATGGTTGGCCTAAGGCGGACAGGCATAAAAAGGATATTTTTCCTGTATTAAAATCACCCCAATCTCAGAAACCTTGTAGCACTTTAAGCAATGTTTTGGTAAAATTTTAAACTGTCATTAACTTTACATGATGAAGCTATGAAAGAGAAATATTTTTTGAGCTCAAACTTGTCCATAACAAAAAGTCAAAGGTGTAAAAAAAAGTTTAATTAAATTATTTTTGCTTTACATGTATTTGACCCATCCTCATAAAACCACTATGGTGACTTTAAAACTAGAGACGGTTATTTTATGATCATAGAAATGTTGTTTGGTTTTGGTCTTTCAAAGACTGTTAGCTTCAGTCCCAGGGAAAATCTAATCTGAATTTGCATGGATCTCCTAAAATGCTGTTTAACCAAGCCTCATATATATATTAAAAAAATCCTTAACTTTCTTCCAACTCTTTACACCAGCAATGCATGCAGAGGTGATCCTAAATGGTTCTTGATGAATACAATTCTAACAATAACCATTATAATTTCTACCTTTGAATGTTTATTATAGTTTTATTTGGCATTATGGTTAATGCCCATTTGGCAATAAACTAATAATATTTTATTCCACCCGTTTAAAACAATACAAAGCAAAAATAAACAATTGTCATCTGTATTTGCTTGTATATTAGAGTTAAAAAAAAAAAAGAAAAACAAGCAAAGAAGACAGAAAAAAGTGCAGGCCTATTTTATTTAAAATGAATTGGCACAAAAACCCTATAAGTTCAGTTTAGATATAATTCAAAGCCTTTGATTTCTATGTGATTTTCTTCTTTTACAAAGGATGATAACATGCTGACATCAATTATTTACATAACTGAAGCCTTTACATGTTGCAGCTTTGTCAACAATGGATGGTGAGGTTGCTTGAGGACCCAAATGCAGAAATCAGGAGGCAGTGGTGAGTCTGAAGATTTAATCAGTAAACAGAGGAAAAATCCAAAGAACAAAAATACCAAGAACCAAAAAACTTCAGAGGAAAACTCACATGGGGAGTGAGAGATGAGGAAACAACATCAAGGAACCAGCACTGAAAGTCTTCAGAGATGGAATATATAGGGGAACAGAACAAAGGATGGACTAATGAGCTAAATAAGGAGGTGTGAGTGGAACTGACTAGAAGGAAGCCAAGGGGAAAGGAAACAAGCACAAGGGGGCAACAGAGAGTAACTAAAGACAGCTTGAATGTAATGGAAAATAAACCAAAGAACAAAACAGAACAACTGAAAACAGAAAACTATAAACTCAGTGTCCCAAATCGAGAGAACCATAACAAGCTTCTTAATGAGGAGACCAGTTTAACCGACACTTTACAGGTGTCCCAACTGAGACTTTGGTCATTGTTCATCTAAGGCAGTGTTACACAGTGAAATTCAAGCGAACCAGATAAACCAAATAAACCAGAAAATGACAAAAGGAGTTAAAGCTTTATAACCAATATTTGTTGAGCAGCTTTTAAAAATGAAACAAAGAAGATAGATTAAAAACCTCTGAAATATTTTTTATTAAATACAAAATCTCATTCAATACCCAACAAGAAGCTTGATATAACAGGAACTCATATTTTTTAATTGTTAAAAAGAAAGATTATACATTCTATACTGCTTAATATGTTGAGTTTTTAAGATCACATTACCTGAAGCTATCTGTTAGTTTACCTTAATAACTTGCAAGCAAGAAACCTGCTATGCGGAAAGTCATTTATAAGCTCTGATGTTATATCTGAAAAACACCTTTATATATGTACACACACACAGACACTGATACTATACATATACACACACATAAATATCCATCCATTTTCCATGACAGAGGCCAAGTACACCCTGGACAGATCGCCACTCTATCAAAGGACCACACAGGGACAAACAGGACAAACAACCCTTCATACAAACATTCGCAGAATTTTTTTTAGAGAGGCCAATTAACCTAACAGTCGTGTTTTTAGACTGTGGGAGGAAGCTGATGTATTCGGGGAGAACCCACGTATACACAGGGAGAACATGCAAACTCCATGCCAAAAGACCTCAGGCCAGGAATAGAGCCCCGCTTGCTGCAAGGCAACAGTGCTACCCACTACTCCACTGTGCAGCCCACACACAAAGAATATTATATATATATATATATATATAATAGCAACTCATATCCGGAAATAGTATTAATATATCTAGTCCCAGAGAGACCATAGTGCTCAAAAAGAGCGTGATTGCAAATAATTATTTTTTACAACTTCCGATTCGATATTGTTCACAATATACTAAATATAACAGCCTTCATATTCAGAGGCTGAATGTGAAGCTCAAAAATGCAATTCATAATTGTAGTAGAAATAAACAAAAATTCCACATACATCAGAATGTGAGATATATGTACAAGAGATTTGCATAAAAGTAAATAAAACACAATGTGATGTGGATGTGAAATGTCTGTAAGTCTTTTTATGGGAAACCCAAACAGGGCTGGTAGCGCTACGGCTGATGTTGGTACTGTCCCTCTGTTGCGGTGTAGAAGTCGTCCAGGACGCTCTGCAAGTAGTCAAAGGTGGGTCTGTCTTCAGGCTTGTCCCTCCAGCAGGACATCATGATGTCATACAGCTCAGGGGGACAGTTTGGAGGCTGGGGCATCCTGTAGCCACGTTGAATGGATGACATCACCTCCCCCTTAGTCATACCTGGAGACAGTGCAGACACCTGTTAGGACTGCTGTTAGAGGAATGATGGTAAGTGTAAAAGCTGTTAAAGTTAACAAGAGTCAGCAGATGGCAGTGAATGATGCCAGACAATGTGGAGGAAACTATAGCAACTAAATACAAATATGTTTTACAAACCAGCACAAGGCAGCAGACATAAAAGATTTGCAAGTTATGGGGTGTTTTACTATTCCTCTTTCCAGATTCAAATCATTTTTAGAGGTACTAAAGCCTTTAACTCTCTGAACTCTTTCATTTTCTGTATGTAGAATATAGCCTACTCGTACTTGTTTGTTTTTAGCTGTATCTCTGGAAGTGAGAGATACTAGTTCCTTTTTTCCAAAAGAGCACCAGCGGCGGAGGTTTTATTGCCATCATCTGTGCGCTCTTTGTTTTTAATTCCTGTAACAGTGATTGTTTTTAGCAGAATTTTAATGAAGTTTAGATTATCTGTTATCAGGAGAAAAACTTTTTGTTTGGTAAAACGTATGCACAATTGTTTTTTGTTACACTGTATGGACCAAAACAGCTCTGCTACTATTTAAATAGTTTACATAGTTAAATCAGTCAAACAAATTTTGTAGTGCACTTTATGATCATATCATTTTCAGAAGAACTACTGCTTACCTGGATAAGGGATTTTTCCATATGTGATGATCTCATAGAGAAGCACCCCGAAAGACCACATGTCTGATTTGATGGTGAAGCAGCCGTAGTTAATGGCCTCTGGAGAGGTCCACTTTATTGGGAATTTGGCACCTTGGGGTGTTTAGAGGAAAAGGATACATATAAACATGAAATATTTGATCAACTTCATCTAATATTGATACTTAGAGTTTGCCTAATCTATGTATAGAGCCACTTCACTGCTAAAAACCACAGAGCTCACCTCGGACACGTGTCATGGAAGTTTTACATCCAGTTTGCACATATGCACATTTATTTTTAGATTCCTGTTTCTGTGGTTTTAGACTCTACTGGTTCCAGGTGAGCAGTCAGACAAGTTTCACTTATTACCCAAGAATAAATATGGTTACTGCACAAACCCCCCCCCCAATCTCTGTTCTTCATTTGATTTCTTGATTAGAAAATCCATGTTAAACCGAAAATCTCTGCAAATTATATTTATAATGCTTTACTGTATAATCCTGCAAATCATATTTATAATCCTTAAAATCTAATAGATAAAATAAGCTTAAAACACTCTATGGAGCAACCTTTGGGCTGTCTAAGGGCCCTTATATTCGAGGTTGGCTGGATGGCTGATTCCAGATTGGTGAGGGTGATTCCAAACTCCTATTATTCCTCTTCCAATTTACCAAGACCTCCTTCTCTATTCAAAATTGCTTTTTTAACCCTTGGTCTATCCTTAAATTTAGTGGAGGATTTTCGTGAATTTTTTAAAAGACCTGCCTTCTCAACTTTTAAAAAAATACACATGCACAACCCTGCACCTGCTCCCAAGAGGGAACGCCAATTAAATGCGTGCAAGAACGTGCACAAGCCTATTTCTCCTTGTGCATGCTCTGTTTAAAGGTATAGAGGACAATCTTTTTTTTAAATCTCAATAAGTGGTCCTTCTAATTGTTAATCATTCTGGTGATATGTTTACTTAAAGCCGTCCTACATGCTTGCCCCATTAGCTATCTTTTCCTGTGCATGTGCACTTTCAGCCGCATATGTGTGGTGAGCTACGATTTCAGACAATAATTGAAGCTCACTATTCTCACAGAGGTTCTTGAAAATGGCCGAGGGTCGTGAGACAAAAAGTGCCTGCGATTTTATGAGAAAAAAAAGGCCTCAGAAGAGGCAGATATATCCCAGAATGCTTTGCACAGAGATCTCTCCTTGCAAAACATCATGGGATTTGCTGTCACAGCAGGCCCGCTGTCGCCATAGGCTGTTGCTACCCGACAGCTGAGACTAATAACACAGATGGAGGAGGAGGAGGAGTTACTTGACCAACAGAGCAAAAAGCAGTGATCATCTGTCCGAATGGTCAGCGAACTGATTTTGCCATAAAGTCCACTATATAGTTTTACAAACTGAAACAAAAAGTGTCCAAATAGAAAAGATGAGGGTTTTTTTTATTTTTTTTGAGGCTTTAGTATATTACAAGGAGTAAAGGAAGTGGCTCATGCTTGATAAGAAAGATGTCCTCAAAAACAGAGAAGTGAAGAAACACTCATTCCCCCTTTCATACACACGCAGCTTACCTTCCCTTGCAGAGTACTCGTTGTCCTCTATGACTCTTGCCAAGCCGAAATCGGCTATTTTGCAAAGCAGGCTCTCAGACACGAGGACGTTAGCAGCCCTCAGGTCTCTATGAATGTAATTTTTTTTCTCTATGAATGCCATTCCCTCTGCTATCTGAAACACAACAGAAAACAAGTGTTGACGTGTTTGATACATTCGGTGGGGAAAAACTATTGGTCAAAACCGACAAAATTAAATACGTTATTACTAAATTTCCCATCTAATACTTAAATGTATTAGGTCCTGCAAAGCAGATGTTAGAACAAGTACCAGGTTGGCTGTTCAGTCAACTGACTAAAAATAGGGTTCTACCATTTTAACTTCCTAACATATAAGAAAGAAATTGACAGTTTATATAAATATTCAAGTGTTTGTCTACTTTTACATGTGCATTCATTTTGAGATCTTTATCTTCACATAGGGTTTAATTTAGGGTTTAATTCCCGCAACAACTAAATCAACTAACCTGTAAATATGCTCCACAATGTTTAATAGTTATATGAGAAAAACAGAATAGCAGAAAACACCCTGATTCATCCCAAAGGTGCTCTATAATAATGAGGTCAAAACTCTGTTCAGACTAGAACCAGTCTTTGACCGTATCTAGACATGCAGCAAATGGAAGTGATTGCAGCATCCAAATTCACCCATTTTCTGGTGTGAAACATTTATTTTTGCAATCTAGTGTATTAAGATTACTATTCTGAAACTAAACATGCCATACTAAGAGCAGAATGGAGTGAAGGCTGCCGACTTTAGCAGAACGTCTAGTTAATCACCTAAAACGGATATACTTACATTGCACTAAAGAGAGCAGGAAAAGGAAGAATTATAGCTTCTCCATTTTGAATACCAATTATGTTAACGAAATAAAAATAATTACCTGTGCAGAGAAATCAATGAGTTTCGGTAGTGGTTGTTTGTTTCCCGTGTCAGTCTTTAAAAAGTCTAGAAGACTTCCTGAAGACATGAAAGAATAGGAACAACATCAGGTATTTAAGTGTGGGCACCTGTTAACCATGAAATGTGTATTTTCGCTCTCATATTAGAACATATTCACTTTTACTATATGATCATAGTTATCTACAGTTGTAGCCATTCAAAATGTCCCCACTTTCACTGATGGGCCCTTGGCTGGTCCTCTACAATGATTTGTGAATTAAGATCTAAAGAGAAGCTCCATCTCCTGGTCAGACCCTGTAATCCAGTGAAAGGATGGAGTAGGAGTTAAAAAAAAATGTGCACGCCCAGGAGAAGGCCAGTGGCTGGAAGTTGGAGGGGATTTGGCTGGGAGTGGCAGGGAAGTGGGCTGCTATTCTAGCCTCGTGAGACCATCCTGATCTCGCGAGCTTTCAAGATTTCACTCGCTAATCAGTCTGGAGACTCTCCGTTGAAGAAAATTTGGAGCCGTTCACCAAACGAACGTCCAGTCACCCTTGGCTTTGATGCGGGTTGAGGTGTGACGCAACGAGAAGCGCGACAGTTCAGTCTAAAGAACATGGCGGCTTCAGCCGATGAAACTAGCGTTAGCACTGTATTTCTTCACTGAAAGAAGAGCAAAACACTGCTCTGGAGGCTTTTCTCAGAGGAAAAGATGTTTTTGCTCTTCTCCCGACTGGTTT